TATTGATAGGGAAGACTTAGTCATACCATCACCACATCTATAATAAAACCTTGGATATTGCTGAATGGCAACTCCTCATAGTCCCCATCCCTACCAGCATAACCAATGGCAAGAGATGCTGAACAATGTTGTTCAACCGTATCTGGAAAGCCTCAGGTTCCTCACCTTTGATATAAAATATATCATCTGAGGAGTATCTTGTTATACAATACTGGAATTTCTTATGTTTAAAATATGCTTTAGTTGTTGTTCCAGCAGCTTAATGAATGTATGAGCTGTCTTTAATGCAAATCCTTCAGTTTATACCGTTCAGTTTATACTCTGGGTTTGTGAGAGGGCATTTGCTCACTGAAATCATTGTTGGATGCTGCTGAAATATGGTGGAAGATCATTTCTATCAGATTCCTTCCAATTATGTTGGATTATAACTCCCATCAATCCTAATTCAGGGCATGTCAAATTTTTCAACTTTCAATTTCCAAACATTAGAGATGCTCAAAAATTGTGACATGCCTTGGGGATTGTAAAGATATTTTGGTTGCTTTAACTTAAATTAGATGTGCTTGGCAAGTAACTATGTAAATATCATAACTTTTTAACATTTTGTTTGTTTCAAACCCATCAGACGTGCGTAGTACAAGTAAAATTTAAAACATATTTTAGAAATCTGCAAAAGGAAAAGCAGGTGAAATAGTAGGATAAAACAGTAGATAAGAAATAAATGATAATTAAAATTAAAATTACCAGTAACAGTTTAATGGCATCTAAGGATATTCATAAAGATATTTCCAATATCTTTCTTTCATATTACCTTTCCTGACTTCTGGTGTCAGATAAATATTTTTACAGCTTTCTCAACTAGGGATGTGTCTCCGATTATAAACCATGTTGGCTGAAGCTGATGTGAATTGTAATCCAAAACATGGGTAGAGAAGATTACAGCCTGAGCAGGTTCATATGTGGAGAAGCTGTCCTTTATATATTCGTACATTTATTGATGGCCAATGCCTGGCTGTCTTTTGAAACTTAGGACCAGGCCTTCTTGTATCTCTGAATATGTGCATATTGCTTTTTGCAATCTATTCTTATACATTTAACAATGAAACAACAGAGCTTCTAAGCCAGATGATGTGGCTCTCAAGCTGGCTTGGAGCCAGGATATGCTCCCATTGGAAATTATGTGCTGGAAGACTATTTATGGAGATGAATATAAAGGAAGAGAGAGAAAAGTCTTATAATGCAGCATTTCAGGTTAGAAATTAATTCCTTCTGGGTAATGTTTTATTCAAGGTTCTCTAATTAGAAATGGAAACATCAAGAATATTCAACTTCAGGGCATTCATTCTCCCTTCTTCCAGATCCTCTCTTAAATCTTATCATAAAATTATCAAGCAGAAAATATCAGCAACCATTAATGCACTTCATTCTTCATTTGAAGAAATCAAATCTATTTTGGGAAAAAGAAGTTGTTAAGAGCAAACCCCCCCCCTAGATATTTCGTCTTTCATTTATTTATTTTTGGCTAAAAGTCCTTTTTTGTCACCCCAATTTGTGATCTGTATCCCAAAAGGTCTCCCCATAATTTTTTGATGTTCATTATTCTCTAGTTTCTTCCTGGTTATACAGATGGTTTGCTTTCTATATTTGACAAGACCATGCACACATTATATGCTGACAACGTTAGTTCTAACAGTAATCTTACTATCCAGGTATTAAATGCATCAATTTTTCTGAGCTGTCTTTAATGGCAGCTCAGAGAACATTATAATCATGCAGTCTGGCTCTCACTAAGTCAGCACTGCTTTTTCCAGAATCAGTTTAAGATAATTAAAAGAACCCTATTGAAATGCAACACATTAATGAAATAACCCTTAATGAATACTAAGCTTATTCTGCTCCAAAGACCTTTGGCCATTTGTTTATTATGAAATACATAGATATTTACAAATTGTTATTAATTTGGATGGGCTATTAGAAAAAAATACTATAAAATGGAGAAAAGAGGCGTTTCAGGCGTTTGGGAGGGAATAATGTGAAACCAGAACATTTTACAAAGGGATCATCATCTACACTAACTCAAATTTCTACTTCATGTAAGTTTCTCGAGAAATTAGCTTGTCTCACAATATCCTGGCTTACCGATAAAACATAAAAATTGAACTTTCCAAAGGGCCTTTGGCGGGGGTGTCAAACGTGCGGCCCACGGGCCGGATGCATCACAGGCTGGCCACGCCCACCCCCAGTTTAGCAAAGGGGGGTGAGTTGTGATACTTCCCGTAACGACAATATGATGACATTTGACATCCTGGATTATGGGGAATATAGGATACCCAGTTTGATTGGTTTTTATGATCATTTTGGTTTTTATTATAACATCTTTAAAACCAGAACAGATATCAAACAAGAGAAAGTCAGTTTTGTCTGAATGTTGAGGGACACAATAAGAGGAGTTCAGCAAATGATACCTGTGGGCTAGAATAATAGAGGGTTTTATTTGTTTGACACAGGATAATTGACTCCTGTGGGAGTTTATAGTCTTGCTAAATCAATCAATCAATCAATCAATCAATCAATCAAAGTCATGACTGACAGATCTACTTGGTAAAAATAAAATATCCAATCTTTCCCCTTTTTTCTGTATCTGATTCTTGGAGACTACCTAGAGAAGTTCCTTCAGTTTTCTTGGCACTTTTTCATTTGCCATTGTCCCCTTCCTAAGATTGAGAGATTCATTTGCCATTGTCTCCTTCCTAGGATTGAGAGAAAGTCCCTTGTCCAAGATTTCCCAGCTGACTTTGTGCCTAAGGCAGGACTAGAATTCATGATCTCCCAGTTTCTAGCCCGATGCCTGATGCCTTGTCCACCAAACTATTATTCACAAACAATGTCTAGTGCAGTGTTTCTCAACCTTGGTGACTTTAAGTCCTGTGCTGGCTGGGGGATTCTGGGAGTTGAAGTCCACAGGACTTAAAGTCACCAAGGTTGAGAAACACTGGTCTAGTGACTGCATGCTACATGTAATCAGTAGATTAAGTGGCCAACAGGAACTGGACGGATCTCTGCCCCTATCTATATCATTATCAACACTGATAACAATGTCCTTGGGATAAATGATGTGGGGTTATGACTCTGTAAACTCTATTTTAGAAAGTGAATTCAAGGATGGATATCACAAATATTAAAAACAAAAATTTTGCAAGCAAAATGTGGAATTGCATATGTTACTTCAGACAAAACAAAGGACTCAACATGAGTCAACAAAATCAATAAAGCTGATGTATTAACTATGTGAAAATATGGTTGTTTTAAAATGTGGTATAAGATTTCACACAGTTGAAAATTTTGGTTCTCCAGGCACTTATTCAAAAACTAGCTTATTTAGCTGAAGGCTTAGCAACATAACACGACTAGATTCGTTTCTTCATTTCAAATAAGAATGAAGTTCTTATGTATGCTATGTACATAGAATTAAAGCCTACATATCATCTATTTTCCAGGGCTTAAATTATAGTTCTCATCTCTCAACTTTACAAGTCAACAGATAATTGGCTTTTCATTTCCTAATACTGAAAGGGAACTATATTGTAATAGCCTCTGTAATTCTCTGTAATAGCCCCAGAAACTTTCTCCCAATTTGTCAGCTTCTGTCCTTCCAGAAATGAACATTTTTAATTCAAAGAGAATTTTTTTTTAATTATCCTTAAATTCAGATGGTATTTCAGAGCTAGGTAATTGAATCAGGACTCAGTTCTAGAACAAAAAAACTAGAACTAGACAAGATCTGTGATTTAGATTTGATGGCTAATAAACATTGAACATGGAAGATGTTCAAAAGATAATTAATTTTACATCCCTGTTTGATCACAAACATTTCTGGGATAATTTCTCACCCCAACCTACTTCTCAAGAGTTTATCAGGTGCAAGGTGGGTTCTACAGCAGGACTCAATCTCCATGAAGATTACTATATACAATAGTCTTTCTCAGTAAATCACTGGGATGACTAGTGAAAATAGAAGGTACAGATGGTAAATTTTTATTCCAAGTCAAGAATTTGTGCTTCTTTAGATACATTATTCAGTTTACCAGAAAAGTAACAATGTCATAAAAAATTATGTTCTTATTCGCTAAACTGAACTAAACCAAGTTTTACCCCCTCCACAATTAATGAGAAAGTTTGTTTATACTGAAATCACTTTCAAGACTTTTGACAGTCTTTCTCCTCTGCTTGATCTTTATGATCATGTAGTTACTTTCTCCATGCCCCAAGGAATGACTCCCACTATATAAAAATGAGTGAGGAAAAATTAAATTCTCTGTAGTATGATTTAACTAGTCTGTTTTCCTTGTTTGAATGAAAAGTACTGTTCCTTTTGATCATTTCATATACTGAACCATACTTTGAATAAAGCCCCATTTGTCTATATAGCTTAGGAAAGCTCTTGCATAAATCTCCTTTATTATTAAAAACACGACTTTTCATCATTTATGTTGCAGTGTATAATCAACAGCCATGCTTCCAGACTTGTGTGGAGGGTATTTTCCCAATCACTCACATTGCCTCAGCCTCCCAATATAAATAACTATCCAAATATATCCTGCTAACTGTAACCATTGCTTTGCTGATATGTCCTTTTGTTATAAGCATTATGATGAGTACTATAGTAATATAGCATTAAATTTTCTGTATGCCAGCCCTCTTCCATTCTACTCCCAAGAGTTGCCCTGTAAGGTAGATCGGACAATAGAAGCGACCACAGAACCAATTAGATACCCACGATAGGGAGTGAATTTGAAACCGGGCCTCCTGAGTTTATGCCCAACACCTTTACTGCTATACATCAGTCCCTCCTCCCCCTTTTGTGTGCTGGGCAGGTATCCAACCTGGGCGGGCCCTTTAAGAGATCATAAGCTCTTGTTTCTTTTCCCCCGGAAGAAAAGTGCTGGAGAATCAGCCGATTAGAGTGTGTGCAAGGTGGAGAGAAAGGAGGGGTGGCAGCGACGCGCGCTTCCCTTTAATTACCCGCCCAAGGCAAGCACTAGAATCAAACCTTTGGCGGGGAGAAAACTGGGGCGTCTTCATTGCGAGCGACGAACGGAGCAGCAGCAGCAGCAGCAGCGAGAGAAAACATTCCCCAACCCAGCAGCGATATTCTGTACCGGCTTCCCCAGCAAGCCAGCCACATTCTGCACGGGCGCTCGCTAGCAGGAGGGAAAGTCATCTGGCAAGCCATGGCCCCTACGCACTTTCAGCTTCTCCTGGTAGCCTCCGAGCAAAGGAAGCGGGTTTGGGGGCTCCCGCTTCTTCTTTTGGGGTTGTCTCTTGCCCCACTAAGATGTGCTGCCTTCAACCTGGACACTAAGTTTGTGGTTCTGAAGAAAGGCAAAACTCCCGACAGTTACTTCGGATTCTCAGTAGCTCTGCACCATCAGTTCCAACCGGAAAGATACCTGTAAGTGGAAACAAAACCAGATAGCTGGGTGGTGGGGTGGGTGGGAAGAAACTGCTGGAAAGGAGTTTATTTTACTACCCCCCCCCCCCGCGCGCGTGTTCTGAATTGTAGATAATTCTGTTCTTATGTGCAACTGTGCCGGAACCCCAGGAAGATGCAGACGTGTGAGTTATACAGGCTCATTCAGCAAGCACAGTGGCGGGAGTTAAAAGTCATTTGGATTTAAGGATCGCCAGAGTTTCCTGAAATCTAGATGAATATCAGTTATATTTTTTTTTTTGTGGGTTTAGCTCTGTTCTACCCGTAAGCAATTCTCACAAAATTCAATGGAACTTCCTTTTGAATAGATATGGGTGGGATTCTGCTGAGTATAAAGCATTCTTTATTTGTTTTTCCATTTTAACACTACTTGTTTGAACTGTAAAGAGAAAAAAAAAAGCTATGCCCCCCCCCCCCCCCAAAATCCAATTTTGCATTCATTTTGCAAACATAAAGGCAGATATTTTATCCAGTCTGCTTTCAATTAAAAGTCATGCTTTGATTCCTTTTTTGGAGGCAGACAGTCTGTTTCTAGTCTTTTACCAAGTAACAAGCATTTAAGTACACGCGGATGCCTGCACACACAGAGACCATTAAGTTACTGGTTTATATAGATTCTGCACAGTGCACCTGTTAGATATACTTCAGCTTTTTATTTAGCTGGAGTTTTATCTATTTATTTATCTTTTTTTATGCTTAGTGCCCTCTAGCTGTGTTGAATTACAGTTCCCATAAGGATGTTGAGGAATCTGCTCCAGGACATCTCAAAGTAGCCATGCTGCATAAAGTGATTTATAGCTTTAACTTGGAAATTTGTAGCCTCTGTCCATGTTTGCAGATTTGGATATAAGATATTAGGGTATAACATTAGTTTCGTGAATGTATGTAATTTTTTTCTGTAGTATATTTTATCCTCTCCCACTTCCTTCTGTAAGAATTTTCTGAAAACCATGAAACTCTTGTAAATACTGTACTGTGGTATGATTAACAAAGAATTTATTCAAAAGTGCTGCTAATCAGTAGCCACTAGGGACACATAGAGAAGTGCAATTGACCTTTTTGAGTAGGAATTTGTGAGTGGGGTAATATCATAAAATTTTCATTTAAATTTAGTCTGAGCTGACATCAGCCAAAGTATATCAAAATATGTACTAATTTATCAGTTTTTCCTCATAAAGTGTACGTTTTATTATTCAGTAGCAAGAATAGTAAACCTATTCTTCAGAATGTGTAGGTTGTTTTAATACAAAACAGCCAAGTTTTTCTTCTTGCATGCATACAATGATGAATGATCATTGAATGTGCCTGTAAATCAGTTTCTTCTACACAACTCTTCCTTTGGTTTACACTACAATCTCCATCTTCATGATTTTCTGTATGTTGGTAGGGCTCATAGCAATTGCAATCCCAAATATTTGGAGGATGCCAGGCGGGGAAAAAAAACAGTTTAGATAAAAGACCCATCAATCTTTTGTGAACATAATTGCCTTCTTGTTTCACTAACATGGAGTATCATTACATGTAAAACTAAGATGAATCACCTAATCTGGCTGCTGAAGTTTATAAATTAATACTGAGTTTTATAATTAGGTCTACTCAGCAATCAGTATTGGGCTTTTGAACCTTCACTCAAAAGTCATTCAAATATATAACAATGAAGGAACCAATGACCATTGAGAGAGATTATATGTAATGTAATTGCTTAATTTTAAATGCATTCTGCTTTATCTTCAGAAGAAAACCAACATGGCTATTAGTTAATTAAGAAGCTTAAGTAAGGCTGCCTAGTTAACATTTGGTTAGGAATTTGGCAAGAATAGGAATAGCAATCACTTCTGCATTATTGTTCTGAAAATGGCATAGATTTGTTCATAAAATCACCATGTGTTCAACTTAGCTTGGATACTGTAGTATATATTGAATCAATAAAGCCAGTTTCATTTAGATAATATACTTTGGCCATAAAAAGTGAACTAAGAGAGAAATTAATGCAGCAGATTAAAAGCCTGATAGAAAAAGAAGTATGTACCATTCACTGGAAGGCCAAAAGTGGATTACACAGACTTTTCCAAGAAATGGACTCAGAGATTTACTGTTGCAAAGAGAGGGGTAGCTATATATATCTTGCTTGATGTTTCTCAACTAAGAAAGGAAAAGATCTGGGGAGAGAGGTATGGTATTGTGAATCTTTATCTCTTGTCTGTCTCAGGTCTTATTTAAATAAATTATTCCCAGTTAAACCCAGAGAAAAAGAAATATAGAAAAATGGAGGGGGGAGAGAACTTTTTCTGTTTCCTGAATTTTACCTTCATGCCAAATCATTGTACAGGTAGTCCTTGACTTAACAATCGCAACTGAGCCCAAAATTTCTGTTGCTAAGTGAAACATATGTTGAGTTTTGCCCCATTTACGATCTTCCTGGCCACCGTTGTAAAGTGAATTACTGCAGTTGTTCAGTAACACAGTTGTTAAGTGAACCTGGTTTCCCCATTAACTTTCCCACAAGGCTCCAGAATGTTTTTACCTTAGGGATATTCTGGGAACTTAAAAGATACCCAATGTGGTGCCCAATGCCAGTAAAGCTAAACTAAAAATAGGGCACCAGGCACAGAGTGCCTTAGTGGGCACACATAGGACATGGTCGGTGCCAGGAGGTCTATTTTGTTAATCTTCTGAAGGATTAGAGTTTGTTGCTGAGTATTGCCTTATTTGGGGATGTAGGAAGGCACTCCCCCCCTCCAAGGCACATGAATTGGTGGCTCATGGCTGGATTCTGGGGGGGGGAGTGGGGTGTTCTTGGGGGGGGGCATTCTAACTAGTAATGTGGCAGGCATCCTTTTCACTTTATTCCTTTGGCTTTGTTGTAGCAAATGCAAGCCTCATCTTGCAGATGATTTCCTGGGATTTGTGCATTCTCCTTTATTCCCTCCTACTGCCTGCCTGTCTGATGTGCAGAAGGATCGCATCTGATAGAGCTAAAGCAGATTTCTCAATTTTACTGCTTTCCTTTTGTCCTTGGACCATAAGTCCATGGCTAGGCTGGGCTGGGCTAGGATGGGATGTGTGGTCAAATATTTCTTAACAAGATAAAAAGCCAGCTATGTAATCTATTCAAGTAAAGAGCTGCACTCCAGAAAATAAGTCAAGTCAGTTAAAATCTAAAATTAATGTAATTGATTATATACATTTAATGACATCTTCTGACATCTGTTAAATCACCACTTCTGGTACTTTTATAATTACAATATGACAGCAAGTATTCATATTGATGGCCTCAGTATATATATGCTGGTAGGATAAAGAATTTATAGGTTAAAGCAGCGGTGTCTAAACTTGGCAACTGCAAGACTTTTGGACCGCAACTCCCACAAGGAGAAGTTGAAGTCCATCTTGGACATCCTAGTCTTAAAATCTTGTTTCTCAACTTTTGCAATTTCATTTGTCCAAATTCTCAATAGGTCAATGCTAGCTGGTGAATTTAATTATTGTTTATCAATCTATGGCTCCCAATTGCTGTAGAAATTGAAATCCATCCATCTGGAACTTGAGGAACCCTGGTTTAAAGAAATTCCTGCTGGAAAGCAGGTTTAAGATCAAGATAGCCACTTATAAGACACAAAAAAGAGAAGACAAAAATAACACAGGTTGGGGTAACATCTGGTGTCAATTTGATCCCACATTTTGCATGCTTAACAATAATTAGTGTCATTAAAAGTATAACCCTAAGTTGGGTTCGGAACTTTCACTTACAGCCAATATATGCTGTTATTTTTATAATTAAAAATCTAGTTCATTTCCCTATAAAGTAAAATCTGGAGCCAAGCAATTTTTTTTCATCTTTATAGTGTTCATTTATAAGAAATCATATTCCACTTTGTTTAGAAGTACATCTGTTTGAAAAACCATATTTTAATAAGTATATAAACAATTGCGGCCTTAATATTCATAATAATCTATGGGACTCCTCTCTCTGATTAACTTTTGCTTTTTGTATTGATTTAAGTGCGACTTACACTCTCTGAATGCAGCCTTCGATACTGAGCTCTGGTACTTTGTATGTGCAGAGATGGAAAATAAGCACATTTATTTGCACACTTTACATTTCCAGAATTTTTTTCTACCAATGAGATTAAACATGTGTCTAAAATAGACCACTGCAGGCAGGCTGTTAAAAGTTAGGAACTAGAGAGAGAAGTGAGTTTGATTGGTTCTAACTCAACCTTCACAATACAGTATTTTTTTTAAAAATAGGCAGATACTTTGTGTGGGGGGGGGGGTTGGGGGCTGCACTTCTTAAAAAAAATAAGCTTCTGAGATACAGTTGGACGTACAGGTAGTCCTCATCTTATGATCACAATTTAGCTCAAATTTTGTGTTATTAAGTTGTTAAGTGAATCCTGCCCCATTTTATGTGCTTTCTTGACACAGTTGTATCACTGCAGTTATTAAGTGTCTATGGAGATTCTCAGTCATCCAGGTCATGACTGTCCCTGGTCAAGGTGCTGTTTCAAGAGGCAACTGGACTTTCTGATTTTTCTTTGAAGACGCTTCGCTTCTCATCCAAGAAGCTTCTTTAGTTGCAGTTATTAAGGTTGTTCAGGGAATCAGGCTTCCCCATTGACTTGCCAGAGGGTGGTAAAAGGGGATCATATGACCTCAAGAACTGCAATTGCCATAAATATGAGTCAGTTGCCAAGGGTCTGAATTTTGATCACATGATCAGGAGGATATAGCAACAGTCATAAGTCACATTTTTCAGTACTATTGTAACTTTGAACAGTCACTAAAGGAGTTATTGTAAGCCAAGGACTACAGGTATTTTCTTGGAAACAAAAAAGAATATACTGATAAAGGAGAAATTTGAAATAGATTCATAAGGATTAAAAAATATTTTGTTTATAACTTTGCTTTAGAAGAGCAAATTCAAGAGCAAAAGCGTGAAAATAAATAATTTAATTAAA